GTTCCGTAAGGCACGGCCTAGCCGCGCTAAATTTTGCATAGCTGTAGACAATTAAATAGCGGATCGTTTAGTGAAAAAGATAAGATGTACCTTGTAAGGTAGCTGACCTATGGCAGGTCAAAGTCCGCCATGGTTTCAGCGAAGTCAATTTCTAGGGAATCGTTCAATCTGATGCAACAGTGGAGTGTAAGACGAAGCCACACATCTCTGAAATGCTTTCTTAGACAACACAACATTCGAATAAGCAAATTGCATTGACCAAAGGTCAGGTATAAAGGTCAGACCAAGGTCAAAAGCAACCTGTTTTATTACTTTAGGGCTTGCTGTATCGGATGGTTTCTGGTGCCCATTTCGAACGTAACGATAGCCCGCGCCGCATTCTACATCTTCCATGGACTTCTTGGAGGTCTGAGTACGTCATTAACCTGAAATGACCCAGGTCAACGTCTGTTTTTCGGGAACATGCTGCCTAGCGTAAACTTTGTCGCCTATTCAGATGCAAAACTCAAGGCAGTCTTGCATAATTTTGATCACCATGACCTTCGAAAGGTCGAACAAGGGCACTGACCTTTAATGAGCCTGCGACATTTTGCTTAGAAACAGTTATCTAGGTTTTGGGAGCACCTTAGAGACCAGCCTGAAATTTGACCTTCTTTGACCTTATCTTGATCTTGATCGGCTTGATCCGAAGGTCATAACCTAGGAACCTTGAACTTTTGACCTAAGTGAGTTAACGTACAGGTTAACATACCCTATGAATTTAATGTCTCTAGCTTTCATAGTTCTCGAGATCTCACGGGGTCAAATTGACTCCCACCCCACCCGAGCGAAGGGCATCAAGCTGGCCACCCGGGGGCGTGTTAATTTAAGTAAGAAAGGTCATTACCTCCTAGTTCTCGGGGATGATGAGTTAGGTCTTCATATGCTGAATATAATGCATCTAAATATTCCGTTAAATGATTATTTTAAATGACCACAAGTTAAATTTTCCCTTCATTATTCTTTAAATGAACTTATCGAGCAAGCATTGGTTGCATTGAGGAAATTTGGCCTTAGCACCTGTTCTTATGGTTACGAGTGACGTATTTGGGCCCAATTCCGAAAAAGGTCACACTGGTGCTTCCCCGGCGCGTTACTAGGGCACCCGCGGGTTGGCCAGTGTGCGGATTGCTTAACGATTTAAATACGGTGCGCTTGTCGTAGACTATACGTAGACTATATACGTACACGTAAACTATACACTAATACGCTGTAGACTTAATTTCACGTCTTTACCCGCTCCGAAGAGATCTGAAGTCGACCCTTGAAACGTCCAAAAGCGGGCGGTCTTGAGCACGATTGCATGTGAGAGTCTGCAGTGCACAAAGCGACCTACACTTTTGCCAAGCTGATTGCCCGTGTTTCTCTTCGGCAGGATAGTTCGTCTCGTTTAGGTGCGACATGTGGGAGCCGGTGTGCGAGCCCATGTCCGGCCCGCGGCCGCGGTGCTCAGCTTTTTTCTATTTTGACAATTTTACGTTTCGTATAATTCTCGTTAATTTACGTAAATTTAAATTTAAATACGTTAACTTTACGTTCAATTTTGCGTTTGTTAATCAAACCGTGAGGCCAAATTATGCTGAGATCGTAACGTTGCATAAAAACGCTGCCTGTTCAAACATCCTGCATTTCAGGTCTTGATAAACATGTTGGTAGAATTTTTAAAGCATTTCACTACTTGTTCCCCCAAAAATTACTGGCCGCGTGATCGGTGGCTTTAAGATGTTAAACCGCTCACAGGATCAATGATCGGGTTGGCCCGGGCCCAGTCGGCTGTTGAAGTCAAGATTTCCAGTTAGCTGATGTCAAAACTTACTTGGCTTGCGGTCACACCACAGTATCAGTGTTCAAATAGTGGATGATTCCTTACGTCAGCTGTGCACGTACACACACCTACATTTGATGTGCCACGCAGGCTTCAGCCGCACCAGGCACCTCTTCTCACACAGTAGAAGGCCCCAGCGTACCTCGCGTGGCCCCAGTCTGTATGCGCCGTCACGCTCTCCTACCTGCGGCTCGGCGTCCACCAGGAGCGCCGTTTCGTCCGAGACGAGCCCCATTTCGACGTTGGTGGAAGGGCGCCGGGCTACAAGTGCGCCGAGGCCGGGGACGACGCGGCCTCTGTCGGGCCGGTCTCGCCGAGGCGTGCCGTGTGGCACGCGTCCTCGGCCAGCCTGCAGGGCTCTGTTTACGCTGGAGCACGAGGTCGACAGACGGTGGCGTGGAGCGCCGCGCAGGGGCCCCGGTCATGTGCAGCCCTGCTACCAAGGGCAAAACCGGCTGGCTCGTGGCTGGTCCTCGTCAAAGTCAGCGGCGCGGCGCTCGCGAGACGGCAGCAGGGGTAAAGAGTGTCGTCGGCGCTGCGGCCCAGTGTCGCCTGCCGTGCCACACCCGCGTCTGACACCTACTGCCCTGGCTGCCATGTCACACCCGTGACTTGCCCTGCCTGCCATGTCACGCTTGTGCCTCACTAGCCACGGTAGCCCGTGTGAGATGCACCAGGATGATGATTAGTGCCGCCTGTTGAACCGCGCTATCACCTGATCGTGCATCGGCACGCAACGTTCGTGTCGTATGCCAGCTGCCGTTACACGCCCGAGCCTAACTCGTAGTGCTGTAAGCTAGCACTCTAGCCTAGCTCTTAGTGTGCCTAGTGCCTAGGATGTGCCGAGTTTCGCCTGCCGTGTCACGCCTCTACCCCGTGCTGCTTTCCGCGCCACGCTGCGCCCATTTCCACCTCCCGTGCCACGCTCACGCCTAGCTTCTCCTGTCATACCACGACCGCACCTGCCTATGTCTTCCGTGCAGCCACGCTGTGCCCAGTGTGTCTGTTGTGCCGAGCTCTTGCGCAGCCCAACTGCAGTACCACGCTGTGCCCAGTGTGTCTGCTGTGCCGAGCTCTTGCTCAGCCCAGGTGCAGTACCACGCGGTGCCTGGCTGTGTCTTCCGTGCAGCCACGCTGTGCCCAGTGTATATGCTGTGCCGAGCTCTTGCGCAGCCCAGCTGCAGTACCACGCGGTGCCCGGCTGTGCCTTCCGTGCAGCCACGCTGTGCCCAGTGTGTCTGCTGTGCCGAGCTCTTGCGCAGCCAAGGTGCAGTACCACGCGGTGCCTGGCTGTGCTTTCCGTGCAGCCACGCTGTGCCCAGTGTGTGTGCTGTGCCGAGCTCTTACGCAGCCCAGCTGCTGTAACACGCTGTGCCCAGTGTGTCTGCTGTGCCGCGCTCTTGCGCAGCCCAGCTGCAGTACCACGCTGTGCCCAGTGTGTCTGCTGTGCCGAGCTCTTGCGCAGCCCAGCTGCAGTACCACGAGGTGCCTGGATCTGGCTGTCGTACCCGATTGTGCCGTTTGCACAGTATAAATGCTGCTAACGGCCTCTCGCCAGACAGACCACAACGCGACTGTGCGGTTTAGCCAACGCGACAGTTAAATTGGACATGGACCCATAACTTGTTTGCCATCAATTGGGACATCTTCATCAGCCTTTATAATACTTATGCATTGTATATTGAATACATGATCGGCCAATAGTCAGATAGCCATCATCCGCGTGCACACTGGTTTTCAACACACAAACCGACGCCGATTTATCACATTATTACTTTCTTTGTACATTGTATGTTTCCGCCTATGGCAATCCAAGGCTTTCAGTACACGTAGGAATTTTCAATACATTCCTTTGAATGATGTGAAAGGTATTTTAAGATGTTGGATGCTTAAGATATGTGAGGGTTGAAAATTGATTTCCTTCAAGCTAAGTAGCAAATTATCTGCTAATACATGACTGATGACTCATGGATGCTACTACTTTGCAACACTCATGCACTGCACAATGCATTGCATTGCGAAGCGGGCATGCATTCTGGTCGGAATGGCTTGGAGATCAGATTGGAGAAGGCCAGAGGGAGGCGGGAGGCAGAGTTCCGCTGACCCTCCTCGCCATCGAAGGAATTTCACATTTTTCATGTAAATAGTAAGTTAGAGCCAGAAACAGGTATATCATGGTGGTACAAATCAAAAGTAGGTAATCGTTACATTTTCCTGGAGCAT